TGCAAATTCTTGCTGTCAGCTGTTGAGAAATAAAAATAGAGTTTGAAACTGTTTGGTTTTGCTAAATGAAAAAGAGCCTCAACTATATTTTGACTAACTTTTGCCTAAAGTGGTGCTGATTTCTAAGTTATTACAGGCAGAATAATGACATTTAGATACATCAGGGTAATTACCCCATGCTTTGGCATATTCAGTTTTCCACTCTTTTAATTGAATGGTATATAGAAGTATTTAATGTGTGCTAAAGAACGCATCATAAAAAAACCATTACATGTTCTAACATCTGTTGATATCTAAAGATCTCATTTTTTACTGCCTTCAGGGCAGTTCCATTTCACTCTTTCTAATTCTAATATAGACTAGAAATATTGCTTGACTGAGATCTTTATCTCCTTGTTTGTATTCTCTTAAATCTTCCTTAGGCAGTTGAGGTTCTTATCTTTAGACATACTGCAAACAAAGCAATATCAGCTACTTTGGACACAGTTGCAACCAGTTTTTTGCCCTTTATTGGGTTTATCTTATTAAGTCTACATTTTAGAGGCACCAGTCCTAGTTTCTGACACGTGCTCATGTTGCTCCAGGCTATCCATTTCTGGAATGCACCAACTAACACATTCCCCAGGGAACACACCCTGATGGTACCAATTCCATCACTGCCTCTGTTTTAACAAAAAGTATTGCAGGGAAGAAGTAGTATATGAGTTATGCATAATGGATTGCCATCTGTAATGTTTGTGAGTCAGTCACAAGCCTTTACAGCCTCCTCCTCATGGGATTGCAAATACAAATGATTTCAGTTGTGTCTCACTCTTCAAGACCTAGTTAGATGAGCCATTGCTGCATGACCAGGTCCTTCATTCTGGTAGAAACAGTAAACTAGGACTTTCAGAATAGGGAAATACATTTCACAGATGTGAACACATCTTCAGGTCATAAAGGATTGCATTTTTAATCAATTGGACATTTTGGATCTTGAAAGTAGTGGTTTAAAGGAATTTCATATTGGATCATATATTTGCTATGGCCATCAGTAATTCTGGAAATGTAGGGGAAGACAATAACATTTGAGATCTTTCTGCATGTGTTACTCAATACAGGTGTACCCTGTCCCTCGGAGTCTGTCCTAGTATTGGGAGCATAGTTTGGAGCAAGAGAATCCACTATCGGCACGACTGCGTATTCCCCACATATGGCTCCTGGATTGATGATAACAGATCTAAGTGGCTGAGACTGAAAAAATGGGATTCGTTATGTGAATAAAGTGGAAAAAGAACTATTCAAGAAAAAATAGGACAAAAAATGCAGCAAGACTTGGTGTCAGTTCTGGTTTGTATTTATGCCAGTATACCTTCTTTTGAGAACTTTCAGTTTTTCCCTTCTACAGCTGTACAAATAATTATGACATTGCTAAAAGTAAAAAGAGGGATTCATATTCCAAAGTGCATTTACCATATTTTAAAGTAAATCTGTGATTTAATAGTTCCAGATGTTTTACTTTTCTGTATGCTTGGTTTCCAACTACATAGTTCCCCATGGTCTTTTATCTTCTATTCCATACCTACTGTTTCCTTGGATTTTCTATTAAATTCATCCTCGAGCAGGATGATTCATAATGACTGAGTTTCATCACTGATGTAAAATGGTGAAATTTAGATGGTATTTAACACAGGTCTATCACTGGTAATTTATATTTTCATTAAAATGTTTGAAAAAACGTGCATTCAGTGTAATATAAAAACGATTAAAAGTTTCATACTTTCATAAATAATGCTGTAGATATATCACCAGATGAAATAATATAATATTTCCCAAACACATATAATAAATATGTGTTTGGGAAATATACAGAAATTAGATGGTTTCCAAGGCAAAAACTGAAAGATTCACATATGATCCAAATTTGCATGTTGAAGTGTAGTGTGAGAAAGAAAGGATCATACTTTTGTGAAGTACAAAACTCACAGCGCAGCTGTGAACAATCATTGTGACAAGAAAATTGCCATACATCAGAAGGCTGAGTGGGATATATCATGAAACTCCTGAGCATACAGAATGCTTCTCATTATGTTTTGTTAACAGTAACTATTTCCTTTTCTGAGGTCTTTTGGATGAAGACATTTCTGAAAATAAATGGATTTAGTTTTTATATATGATTATAATTGTAATAACTTGTGATTTACACATATATATGCTCTTGGATTAACAAGTTTACTGTCTAGAAACACAGGTTTTCACAATACACGCAGTGTATCTTAAAGGCAGTGTTTCCAATCTTTACTGTGGTTGTGAACTGCTCAATCCAGTGTTGTAGAGCTGCTATTCATGGTGTACGTTTGCCTGGATGAGCCAATGTCTTCAAATATGATGATAACAAATGGTGTTTATATCATTCATAACTTCTGAAATCTGAAACTTTACTGACCTGCTAGCATTTACTAAAATGAGAAGAAATCAACCCGAGAAGAATTATTGCCACTACAGTGAAGAGTAATTTTCTGAATTATAGGAATGTTCTGAAGTGAGGGATCTGACAATTGCAGTAATTGTAAAAGAACCAAAAAAAAACCCCAGAAGACAAATGGTAGAATTAGAAAAAAGGAAAATAAAAGTAATTGCCATTTTATTGCCTTTTTTTTAGACTAAAAAATTATACTTTCAATTTAGGCTCTAGATTAGAACTGTAATTACTAACACTTTTTCTGCAAAGGTGGACTTTAATCACATCTGATAACTTCATGGATCAACTTGTTACAAAATGATAGCAATAGGAAACTTCTGAAAGAAGTAAAACAACAGAAATTATCCTGATAAGAATTTATCATATGTTTTTTGACTTTCCTTGCTGCACTGATTTAATTTTGTTTCTGGAATATAACTGGGCTTATATATTTTTTTCTTCTAAATATCAGTCTACTGCAGTGTATCTGGGCTTCAATATATGTGGTAGCAGATGACCTTTATAGCAATTGCAGTAGATAATAGATTGTCAAATATGTTGCAGACTTCCCTTTCTGTAGATCTGATTTTACCATTATCAAAAAGAAAACAGCTGCTTAAATTTAGGGAAAGAATAGAATAAAAAATAAGCTATATTATGAAATTTGATGCATGGTGGTGAATAATTTATATTTTATCTAGCCAAAGAATATTTAACATTCTGATTCTTCTGGCTTTCTTTCTGTGTTCTTGTCTATACTTTTCTGTGATTAATTCTACAGATTTGAGATTATGGGCATTAACTATTGCATATTTAGTAAGAGAATGAAGTCCAGCCTACAAACTGGAACCATGATTTCCCTTTTCCCTGGTTAAGAGGCAATATTTCACTTTAATGATGAAGAAAACACATGTTTCTGACCATGAATAAGAAAACAACATGAATAGGACATGGAAGCACGCAGGCTGCATTATAATCTGACCATCAGTGTACACTACTGAAATACTGCTGACAAGCCCTTGGATATGTTGCTGCAGGCCATTAACACACAGCCACACTGCTAATGAGTTATTCTGTCCCAAAAAGTATGTGATGAATGTCAATACCAAAAATATAACTCACAAATCTCTTTGATGTGAGACTTTTTTATAGCTGGATTTCATGTCTGCCTCTTTCACTTAATGTTTAACATAATATGAAATTGTTCAGTGATTGGGGCCCAATTTTTTAGGAACAAATATGTCCCCTAGTTGAGTTAGAATGAGCTAGAGGCATCTCTTTATACAAGCTAGATTTCTTACTTGGAGTTAATTTTACTCAGATTGTTTGTGGAAATTTAAGACCATTGTAAATTTTAAGAATACTAGATCTTGATGAAAGCCCAAATATACTTTGTGAGTTTTAAAGTCCAAGTGCTTTAAAATTTATTTGTTACAGTCTACTGATTTTGTCTGGGGAGAAGTGGATTTTCTTCATAGTAGTCTGTATGGTGCTGTGGTGCTGTGTTTTTGATTTGTGACTAATACAGTATTGATAGCACACTGCTGTTTTGGCTCTTGCTGAGTAGTGCTTGCACAGCATCAAGGCATTCTTTGTTTATTTATTTGTTTTTCCCACTCTGTCCCAGCAGTAGGTAGGCAGTTCCAGCATTACAAAGGCTCGAAGTACAGCTTCAGTACAGCCAGCTTGAACTGACCAAAGGGATATTCCAAATGACATGATGTTGGATTTCATGACACAGGCTTGGGCACAGGAAGAGGAAGTGAAGGCATTTGAAGAAATGAAGTTTGTCTTCGCAAGTAAACACGACACGACATATGCTGAGATCCTGCTCTACAGAAAGTGGTTGACCATCTTTCTGCCAATGTGGAGTAGTGAATAAATAATTTGCTTTTCTTTTCTTGGGTGTACAGCTTCACTTAAACAGTCATTTTAAAATATTTGCAAGTGGCAAAAAATTACTTTATTCTTAGGAATTATATCAAGTCTTACAATAGAGTTGAATAATCAAATCAAAGATTATGGATGCATGTCTTTGTCCATGAAGATTAGTTTAATAGGTATTTACTTTAAAGTACAGATTAAACAAAAGAGTCTGCTGCTAGTCAGATTCTGATTTTTACTTTTGAGAAGTTTGACAGCACTTCAGAAGGTTCATAGGTTATTCTGAGGTTTACTGAAACAAGGACTCTGGTCTTTGGTCTTAGAGTCCATTCAGGACAAGAAAGGGAGATTCAGCTTCCCTAGTAACCTTTCCCTCAAATGACTTGGTTGAGTTCATAAAATATATTATCTCAGGAATGAGTTGAAGCTTTTATTTGTCTGGATGACTTGTAATTGGGTTCTTCAGATAAACAAGATATTGCTTAAAAAAAAAAAAAGACAAAAAACAACAACTCTGCAGTAAAGGGAATTCCACAGCTTCTCTATTATTTAATCTTATTTTAATAATAGGGAAGTTATTAAAATATCTAATGAAATCTTTACCATAGAATTACTTTATGCAAAATTCATTTACTACAGGACATAAACATATGGAAAAAAAGTAACAGCTCTTTCTATTTTTTTTTTTTTTTGGTGAAATTATATTCCTCTCTTTTCTTTTGCTAGACAGCTTTTGAAATAGCCATCAGTAAAAATCATACAACCTGATAATATCCCTGCACTTTTTTCTCTTACATTTTTGTGGCTCATAGATTTTTCTCACCTCCTCTAGACCTTCCTTTAAGTGTATGTGAAGTTCTCATGCTAAAGTGTTAATTAGCAGGTTTAGGAAAGGGGATGGTAGTGACATTCCCTTGTCTGTTATTCATTACAGTAGATTCTTCCCTGCTGTGCTGCTTCCTCCATATCTGTGCTTTGGTTTTCACCTCCTACCTAAGGTAATGCAGTTTTATAAAGCTGAGTTTATCTCACTGACCACTCTGTTGAATATCAAGAAATGTCCATCTAGTTGACACTTTATTACATTATCTAGGTTGTTAATAAGGCACTGAATGGGACTGGTCCAAGGCAGGTTGTAGATGACAGTTCTTAGTTTAAGGCATTGGAGGTCATTCGAGATTCTTCCTCCAAGCAAGTAAGCCAGTTAATACTTTGAAACTAAAGTTCCAAGTATCTGTCATTCGGTGTTTTTTATAATGAAAAAACAGAACCTTATATTGGAGTTGCCATTGGCTTTTTCTGCTTTATGTTAAAATTCAGATTGAAAATTTCATCGTGGATGGACTTAAAACAACATATCATCAATGTAACTGTCAAGTACAAATTCAAAGGCATGGTAGTTATTCTAAAGAAATTCATTACCATGGACATTATATTTACCTGTGAGCAATATTGGAACAAATACAGAAACAGATGTCCCATTTTTGATCAGTATGTGCAGAAATCAGCATGTCAGGGACTGAATATGGATACACTGTCCATTTTCTCCACTAAAATGGTTGACTAAAAAGCATACTTCTATCTCACTGGACCCTGAACATAATTTTCCAACTGAGCAGCATTGGAAAGAGATTGTTTACATCAACAACAAATTTGTAGTAAAATGTCCGGTGCAGGATTTGTATCTGACATCGTGGCCTTTCAGGACTTATTTTTCTTTCCCCTTTCAACTAAGTGGTCAACATTTTAAACAGATTACTTCGATTTTATTTTACCTTTAATGAGATTTAATGCCATCCCCTACAGCTGAGCAGCAGTAATACAACATGAAATCAATTTATTGTTTTCTTAGGCATTTAGAACATAAAATGCAAAAAGAGATAACGTGCTTGGAAAATGTCTTATGGTTTCATTACTAACAAAATGCAACAATTCCTGTTTCAGTTTTTTCTCCCAAATACTCAATTTCTCATATTCTTTTTGTTCTCTTCTCCAAGATAGCCTTTAAAAAAAAAACCTAGATATTTTTTAAGCTCTTTCAAGCACTCTGAAGATCCTGACATTTAGATATTTACTAGGTAAACTAAGACTTTTTTAGTAATTTTCAATCTGAATTTCATTAGTAATTTAGCATATGTACAAAATAATCTTAGTATTAAAATCTGACAACTGTGGTGACTATTAGACTCATCTTCTCAGTGCCAAACAGAAAAAATCTGCTTTTCTGTTCTGTGTTACTTACTATGAAATCTTCTACAAAATGGAGACATATACTTGCACTGATCCCTGTGCAGTTTTCTTCCCATTCATATCTCAAATTACCAAAGGATTTTAATGTTGAAATGAGGATAGTTAGATACCAGGGTACTTGTAGAAGGCTGGCTCTAAACACTTGGCAGCTGCAAGCCTCTATTTCACAGCAACAAGGATAGATCACCCAAGCTGCTACCCTCTCTGGGAGTGTTGACATTGTGAAGTCACAAATCAGGAATTTCAGATGAGAGTGATATAAATATAGCTCCTTGTGTCAGAAACCAGGGGCTGAATTTGTAAATAAAATTTCAGAGGGTACCCTGGTCAGCAGAGAGGGATCACTGTCACTTTCTTAGCAAAAGGAAACAGATGGTTTTGTCACTGGCACAAATAGGTACTTCACATTGAAATTATTGCTGGTGAGAGATGGCAGTGGGATATCTGCCTGTCTGTCCAAGCAGGTAAATGCTTCAACGTGATAAACACAAGGGTAGCAAGTATGGAGACAATCTGTCTAAGATTAGGCATGAATTTCCCACAAGAAATAGGGAGATATTGAATTATACTGGTATACTTTACGGACTGTTGACTTTATTTTCAGTTTGCAAGTATTTGTTGTTACATCACCATTTTAAAAAGGGCAAACAAAAAAGAAACTAAAAACAATATTAGCCATTAATTTGGGCTAATTTAAGTAACCTGAAATATTTTTCAAAATTGACCAATCAAGACCATTTTTCTTCCCAATGCACAGATATTTTAAGGGCCTGGGTTCAGAATTCTTACCATAAGCACAAAGTTATCAAGCACCCAGTTTTAGGTGATCTTTTTGTCCAATAACACAGTTTATCTCAGTGGCAGATTTAGAGAAAAACATGCAGTTTTTCAGGGCAGCACTTAATTATGTGTAAGACTATGACTTCTTTACTTGTAATTCCTGCTTCATTCTGTATGCTCTTGCCACCTTTGGTGACATAGTTCCACCCCAAAGCACAGTCCAATCTAAGTGTTGAATGAAGAAGCAATCACTGTTTCTGGAAAATTAGTGTTTGAGCACATAAAAGCTGGCAGAGCATCAGATAGAGTACACTTAATTTTGATTGCATTGGAAATGCATCGAGCAAACATTTCTAATTCTCAGTACATTTAAATAGCTGCTTTTAAAGTTTCCTCTGAAACACTGTGGCTGGAACAAAGTAATATGCCTAGTCTTTGTCTTTGGTTTTTATGTACAAATTCAGTTTTACATCTTTTCATACTCTCCTTGCAGCCAAGCAAAATTTCTTTGATGGAAGTATTTAAAAAGAAAGAGTTTCTTGCCATTTCACCTCTCCTTGTTTCCTTAGAGGGTAATTCTACTGCTAGGCAATACTTTAAATCACCTTGACTAGCAAACCAATAGATTTTTGCACACCATTACAAACAAGTTTTATAGTCACAAAAGAATGAGTCACAACAAACCAAGGGGCTAAGAAGGCTGCTCATGAACTCACCATAACCCTACACTCCTTTAATTGATTTAATGGAAAATGTGTAAAATGTCTGTACCAGCACAGCAGGAAATACTGAGGACCATCAGTGGTGCAATTAAATAGAACAAATCACGTTAATTGATTAAACATTCATTTTTACTTGCCTAGTGTTTCAAAATAATGCTAGACTAGGTCAATCTGACACTGTTAAGTATATATAAAGAATACAGGCAATTTTTATTTTTATTCCCATTTTTGGATGGGGCAATGTGTCGGCATACAATATTAAAACTGATTTTAAAGAATATTGATTTCTCAGTAGAAGCAAAGGAATTTAAATAACCAATTTCATATTGCTTTTTTTCCTCTCCTAATTTCTCTCATAATGATAAAATTTTATCTAAAAATTGTCTCTGCTTTGAAAATCATAAGTTTAGAAATGGAATAAGAATGCATTTCAATGTGGAATGAATTTACACATGTTCTTGCTGTACAGAATCACAGAATCTCAGAATCTCAGAAAATCACTAATTGGAAGGCACTATTGAGTCCCAACTCCTGGCCCTGCACAACACCATCCCCAAGAGGCACACCATGTGCCTGAGGACATTGCCAAACACATCTTGAACTCTGTCAGGCTTGGTGTGACCAATTCCTTAGGGAACCTTCTCCAGCACCCAGCCCCACTCCTGGTGAAGAATCTTTGCCTAATAACCACAGCTAAACCTCTCCTGACACTTCAGGCCATTCCCTTGAATTTTGCCCCTGGGCATCACAGAGAAAAAAATCAGTGTCTGCCCCTCCTCTACCCTTTGCAAGGCATCTTCACTGTGCAATGAGATCTCCTCAGTCTCCTCTAGTCCAGGCTGAACAGACCAAGTTAAGTCATTCCTCATATGGCTTCCCTTCAAGTCCCTTCACCATATTTGCTGCCCTCCTTTGGATACTCTCTAATAGTTTAATGTCTTTCTTATATTGTGGTGGCCAAAACTGCACAGAGGACTGAAGGTGAGGGCACACCAGTGAAGAGCAGAGTGGCACAAGAATCCCTGTTTGATTTTTTTTCCTCAATGTTTTAACCCAGATGAAAATTCGGTTTCCCTCCAGCTAATGAGTGTCACAGAGTTGTGCCACATTAACTGGCTTTTTTTTGTGTGGCAAGGTTTCGATACCAAAAGGCTTCTGTGAGAAGGCACCAGGAGCTGCTCTTGTGTTGGACAGAGCCTCTTGTAGTTGCCTCAAGCTCCAAGACAGACCAACACCAGCCAGAGCTGAGCCCCTCAGCGATGGGAAGAGTGTCACTTTAATATAATATATAAAAGAAAGGGTAAAAACTGCTGTGAAACAGCAAATGGGAGAGAGAACATGTGAGAAACAGCCCTGCAGACAAGATCAGTGAAGAAGGAGGTTGAGGAGCTTCTTCAGGCATAGAGCAGTGATTCCCCTGCAGCCCAGGTGAGGCAGCTGTGCCCCTGCAGCCCATGGAGGTCCATGCTGCAGCATATATCCACCTGCATTCCAGGAACCACCCCACACTGAAGCAGGGGGATGCCTGAGGAAGCCAGTGATGGAGCAGGGTCCTGGTGATGATGAGCCCATGCTGGAGAAGGTTTGCTGGCACTACTTGTGATGCTGTGAGTAGTCACTCTGGAGTAGACTGTTCCTGAAAGGTTGCACCCCTAGGAGAGGACCCACATGGGAGCAGTTTGTGAAGAACTGTCTCCTGTGACTGGGACCCCACACTGCAGGAGGAGAAGAGTAGGAGAAGAAAAGAGTGGCTGAGAAAACATTATAAACTGACCATAGACACTGTTCCCCATCCCTCTGCATTGTTGGGGGAGAAAAGTTAGGAATTCTTGGAGAGAATTTGAGCCTGGAAAGAAGAGAGTGTTTTTAGATTTTATCTTAGTTCTTGTTATCATACCTTTTTAAAATGGTAATTAATTACATTAATCTTGTCATGTAATTATAGAGTTATTTGTGTTGGAAGGGACCCCTAAAATGAACAGGGTGATGTTGAATAGATCAGGTTGGTCAGAGTCCTGTTCAGCCTTACCTTGATTGTTCCTGAGAATGGGGCATTCACCACTTCCCAGGGCAACCTGTTCCAGTGTTTCACTGAGTTTTCTCCAAGACAAGACTGTTTTGCCATGACAATAACTGGTAAGGTGTTGCCCTATCCTTATCTCAACCCATGAGCTTTACATAGCATTTTTTAATCTGTCCTGTAAAGGAGGAAGAGTAACAGAGTTACTTGGTACTGTTTCATTATTAGCATTTTTATTTCTGCAAAGTAAGAGTGAGAAGTATGAGAAGATATGGGGAGCTATGGCCTAAAACACAAAAGACTGGTTGGTGTTTTCTTCTGTCTGGCAAAATGAAATATGAAGATTATTCTGTATTTTCTCCTTTTTGCCATTTATCAAATCCCTTTCCATCACACTTAGAAAATAATATTTTGTAGGTGCATACATTGCAGAGAATCATTGACACTGTGTTGAAACTAAGAGAGACAATACCACTAACATTTGCATTAAGAAGAGATATTTTTCCATTGAACTTCACATTGGATTGTGAACTGGTCTGTAAAGACTAACTCCTGACTCCTGAAGCATGTATCCCAGACTATCTACTGAAAATTTCAGTACTACAGGTACGACTTGCAAGAGAATTTCCAAAGCTTTGATGTTACCCAGTACATTCAGGACAAGCTTTTCCACTTTCACTTCATTCATATTTGATAGTCTTAACCGTAAGAAATAAATTCTTTCTTGGTTTCAGCAAATGGATTTTGCCCACCAAGGTAACAGATGAGGATATTAGCATACCCAACACATAAATAGATAATGACTCATGCTTATTGTTGGCCTTTTGTCTTACATTTCATTGCAAACACTATATGGACTATCTGACAAAACTCACAACAGTAATAGAGCTTAGAGCAGATACTTTATTTTAATTAAATCATTCTACAAAATGTTTTGCAGCCCATGTGGTGGCCTCCTGCTCTTTTTCATATGCTATGGAGATAGACTTGTGTCTTTATTTCCCTATTATTCAGGTTTTAAATTAACCCCATGATGTTACATTTGTTTCCTCCATTTTTTCCTGTGATTCTCAAAGTATGTGAGAGACAACAGACTGCCTGAGATAATGGATTCATCCAATCCACCAAGATCAGAGAAAACTGCCCATGGTGAATATTCAATTCGTGCTGGTTTGAATCCTGATTTCAACTGGGAAAGATTCTGCATAAGCAAACAGCTGCTTTTTAAGGGGAAAATAAGTGCATCACTTTACATACTGATTGAGTCATTTCATCTATTTCTACAATACCATAGAACTTAGTGGCATATGCACTGTTGGTTTGATGTTTTTCTCTTTTAGTCAGTTTAATTAAAACTAAATCCTCTTCTCTTCTCTTCTCTTCTCTTCTCTTCTCTTCTCTTCTCTTCTCTTCTCTTCTCTTCTCTTCTCTTCTCTTCTCTTCTCTTCTCTTCTCTTCTCT